GCAGTGAGTGGCTCCAAAACTGCTCTGCACCTTGTTGTCTCTAATGGCTCAGGGTACCTGCTTGTGACTCATTCTCCCTGCCATTCCTCATAGCAAACCTAGGGCAAGGGGCACTACCAAGGTCCAATACTTCACCTGAGTAGTACAGAGAACACCCTCTGCATGGGCTGCTGTGGGGATTAAGTGCAATGTTTGAAAAGTACTTAGCACAAGTGTCTGCTGCCCAGTGAGCCAAATAATTGGTGGCTTCAATTATCTGCTCACTGTGAGGAACACTCAATGCTGCTCTGGAGAAGGCTATCCCTTGCCAGGGCTGGACCCCCCTCCCCCGCCCCCCCCCAAAAATCACCCAAGGCACCTGTCCCCATATACAAGGGATGACCCAGACCTTCCATAGGCAGATGCAGGCACCACCCACCAGGCTAACAGCACCCATGGGACAGATGCTATTGCCATCAGAGTAATTATTCTGCTTTTATACTGGCTTAACTAGGGACATGTGCTGGGAAAAGGGAAGAAAGGATGTGTCTAAATAAATATTTTTTTTCTAATTTATCCAAGGGCTATCCCATTGTGAATTCTTTAGGATACAAACCATGATCCTGTGGGTTCAATTCTCATCACTGCAAAAACAAAGAGAAAAACCACAGTGTCCTGAGAGCAGAGCCTAAGTTCTTTTAATTATACATTTTTAAAAAATGTCACAAGTGAAGACATGAGAATATTGGAAGGCTGCCTCTCCCTCTAGTCCTGTGAGGAACACTTCTCATTCCGGCCTTGCAGAAATGATCCTGAAGTTCTTGTATCTCTATATGCTTCATGGTATTTGGTCTGAGCCTTACAACTGGCCCACCCACTACTCTGAATGAAATTTCAAATAACTGATTCAGTTAAGTAATAGTCCCAATGTAGAGCTGTAGAACTGTCTAAATCGAGTTTGTTCTGGCTAAAGCCACTGAAACCTGATATTTCCTACCCACAACCCTCCCCCCAGCCCCAACACACACAGACAGACTCCAGTCCCAATGTCCCAGCCACCTCCTGACAGTGGGCTATAGGCTAATGCCACTGGAACTCCTAAAAACATCTCCAGCCAGCACTCCTGCCAACAAGGTCAGTGACAGGCACCTGCTAAGCCCTGAACTGGTGGTCAGCACAGGGCTTGTGCCCATTTCTAAATCCAAGCACTATTCGGTTACTTCTCACCTTGCAGGGAAAGAACTGCTCTCTCTCCTCAGTCTGACAGTCATAGGCCTACCTGGACACTAATGGGGCTGAGCCCGGGCCAGAACCTCCAGGCCTAACCCATCTAACTCTTCAGAACAGTTCCAGAAGCATCCAGTCATTGCTGGCTGTGGGACGATCCCACTGCCACTTGAAGCCATCCATTTGTTTACAGGGCAGCAAATGTGGCTGGCTCTCGTGGGCGGACTAGAGGAGAGATAATGGTTTAAGCTAGGCCAGTGTAAACAACAGAGCAAGCTGCCTGCCTAAAAGACTCCCTGAGCCTGTTTAAGAAGGGTGAGTCCTCTCCATGCCAGAGAAGTGCTGCAGGTGTAGTGGTTTGGCTATTGTTGGGCACTAACCAGAGGTAATGGGGGGTGAGGGGGGTGGGGGAGACAAAGGAAGCAAGAGTCAAATGTGGAAGGATAGAGCCTGGAGTCAGTGGCTGTGTAGTGGAACTCTGGGCTGACACCCCCACGGATACAGTTCCATTCATTGGCTCAAACATAAATGGAACCATACTATTTGAGGGGGAAAAAAACCCACCCACCCTGTTTTTTTTCGAAACAATGTTCATTCTCTCACAGGCTTCTTTAATCAAATTAAATCTGTGCCATATGAGTGCAGGCCTAATTCACCCAGTGAATTCTATGCAAATATTCATGAAATTGCTGCTTGGGGAACAATATGTACCTAGCACATGGATCTTATCAGGGTAGGAGGAGCTGTGTCAGGAAGAGGGAGCAGCCTCCACTCCTACTGTGTTCTTCTGATCTGCCAGTAGGGCCTAGGCACAGCAGGTGGCCCCTCTCTAGCAGTCCCCCTCCCCCCAGCCTCAGGAACATTCTCATTCCAGCAGCAGACATATGGATAAGTACAAGCTCGAGGTGGGTGCTCTACACAGACAAGGCTAATTTCAGCTCCGAGGCTCTCCACAAGCCCCACTCGGCTATCTGGTTCGGAGCTATGGTCCTTAGCTGCTACACACCCAGGGAGTGTGCAGGGCAGACCATTTGCCTCCTGCATCTTGGGCATTCCTGGAAGATGGCCTCCCTCTATTCTTTGGGGATCTCAAACATGCAGAGGCTCTTGTACTTCTGTAGCAGTTCATTCTTGGTCCTGACTTGCTCTCGGAGACTGTGCAGCTGCTGCTGCTGCTGCTCAGGGCTCAGGTGGATGCCAGGCATGGTGCTGATGAGCTTCCGCATCTCCTGAAACTTGGTTTTTAGGGCGTTCAGGTCCTGGTGGACATCTGGGCTGTCCTTGTCCATGCTGCAGGAGCAGAGGGCAGTCATTAGCATACACAGTTCACCTTCATGCTGGCTTCCCTGCTCTGCACCTTATGATATGGTTTAGAATGCTTTCTTTGATGTATCTGTCCTCTGACTAGGCTGTGCACCCCAGAGGGCTGGGACTGGCTTGCTTCTGTATAAGCTTTAAGCCAGGCCATAAAAGCATCCTTTCATCTAGCAAACCCACTTCCACTCTAAACTCTTCAGCTCTGAGGACAGCCTCACAGGTATCCCCTCCCACTGTGGTGTGGTGTGCTGGACACTGGAGACAGAATACTTGCTGAAAGAACGAATTCCTGGCAAGTAAGTTCACAGATGTGTCTTGCATGAAGAAACAAATTATCAGCTGACCAACACCAAACAAAAGTTATTGAGGGGCTGGGAAGGTGGCTCAGTGGTAGAGTGCTTGCCTTGCGTGCCTGAGGCCCTGGGTTCGATTCCTCAGCACCACATGAGCAAAAAGAAAAAAGCCGGGAGTGGCAGTGTGGCTCAAGTGGTAAAGCACTAGCCTTGAGCTGAAAAGCTGAAGGACAGCGCCCAGGCCCAGAGTTCAGGCTCCACAACCAGACCTTCCCCCGCCCAAAAAAAAGTATTGATATACTCCAGTTTGTTTAATGAGAGCCATTTTTAGGCCAATCAGGAGACTCTTTCAGTTAGCAAGAGCCAATTTTAGCTGAGGGTTGATGCCTATTAACGACAAATTTCCATAGAGCTGTTCATAAATTTTAAATCACTTACAAGTTATTGGAAAATGCTTAGCAGTTATCAGCCTCTAGTCATGAAAGCACCTTGCCTTTGGGTTAGGTTCATTTGAAGTCAGGTCATCATCTCCTCTCTCAGCTATTGTCAGCTACACAGAGAGCTCTACTCTCCTACTCTCCTACCAAATTAAAGCAAAACAAAAACAGAAACTTCACTAATGTATGTTCCTATACATTTTCTTTTTAGAAATTAGAACCTGGACAAGCTTTAGAAAACAAGCAGTTGAGGGTAAAACCAAAATGCCAATTCAGTAAAATGTTCTAAAACGATGCTCTCAAGAGGGAAAACTATAAATGATCAGTTATCTTTTTTTTAATATGCATTTATTCCTGGTGGGAAATCTCAACCCAGATGGTACTAATTCATCTTTTTATTCATCAGTTCTCTGCTTACGCAGACAGAGTATCTCTCTTTCCTGGCAATCTGTCAGCTGTGTCTCACACCTCATGAATCTGTCAACCACTAGGGTCTGCTAGCTATTTATCAATAGCTCTAGAGGCGGGATAGAGAGAATCAATCATTTCTTCTAGGGAATGAGCAGCCAGGCAAACATTTCTTCTTCCTCTATGATGCCCCTTAGTTCAGAGAAAAAACAATGGTATACTAATGATATACTATACCTTATCTCAATTGTTAGGGAGGGTAACTGGAATTCATGAGAACTACAAATGGTTTGGAAGGAGGCAAACACAGAGTTTTTCTTCTTTTTTTTTTTCTTTTTTTTGTGCTGAGGATAGAACCTGGGGCCACATGCATACCAGGCAAGTGTTCTACCCACAGCCAGGGAAGTATGTTTTAACTTCCTTCTTTCTTTTTTTTTTTTCTTTGTTGGTCGTGGGGCTTAAAACTCTAGGCCTGGGTGCTGTCCCTGAGCTCTTCAGCACCACTTGAGCCACTTTTGGCCTTTTCTGTTTATGTGATGCTGAGGAATTGAACCCAGGGCCTCATGCATGGGAGGCAAGTACTCTACCGTTGAGCCACCTTCCCAGCTCTCCTTCCTTCCTCTTTTTCTTTTCTTTCTTTCCTCTTTCTCTTTCTTTCTCTCTCTTCCTCTCTTTCTTTCTCTTTCTCTCTCTTTCTTTCCTTTCTTCTTTCTTTCAGTTTCAGCTCAAATACACAAATCTGGACAGAAAGCATCTTACTTCCAAAAGCATTACACTTGGATGGCATGTGTGTTAACACACTAAAAAACTTATGTCCAGAAAGTTTGGGAATTTAAATTCATTTTAAGAAAACTGACTCTCATAAGTCTAGAAGGACATAATAAAAACAAACAAAAATATATAAAATTTAAGAGGAAGAACTGGCAATCCAGTTCTTAAAGCAGTGCTCTAAATCTGAAAGCAAAAAGCGGGCCATGTTTAACATAGTGATTTCTGAAAACCTCCAAATCTACAGGACTGCCCATTCTTCACCCACTAAACTTTAGGGAGATGGGGTGGTCTTCAGATAAAAAAAATAAGAAGCCATATGAAAAGTACCTTTCTTCGAGCTGCTCACCTGACCTAGTTGGTAGCAGTAAATAGCACAGAAGTCCCGGGGTGAGGAAAACACACTATTCTATTCAGAAACTAGCTCAAACCAAGTGGGAACCTGCTATGCCAGGATGACTGTGAAGTACCCAGGCCCAAAGGAAAGGAACAGGCCCAAACACTGAGAGAGTCAGAGCACAAAGCTCTAAATGGGGCTGCCTTTGTGCCTAACATTAGTCATCATCCAACTTTAGAAGGGGAAAAAAAGAGACTAGGTCAAGAAGGATGAAAATTATACAAACAAGGGCAAAGTTAGGGCACTTTGGTCCCACCTACTATGCTTTATTAGAAAGTGGGCAAAAATACTACAGCTGTGGATGATAGTCAGGACACCCTTCCAGCAGACAAGGACATCTGGGTCTCCAGATTCCAGGCAAAAGCATGGGGTCAGATGAGTGCATCTAACAATCACACTACAACCAACCAACGAACCAATCTTCCTTCCTTCCTTTCTTCCTTCCTCTCACCCCCATCTCTCTCTTTCCTCCTCCCCCTCCTACTTTTCTTTCTCTTTCTTTTTCTTCTTTATGCTTTATTAGAGAGAAAAGAAAAGAAGCAAACAGACAACAGGGCAGTGTGAACTCAGAAGCAGAGGAAACCCATGAGATTGTAGTCAACCTGGTCCCTAAACGCAATAGTCCTTTCTTTTGGCATCTGGTCCTCCATATGTTCTCCACAAAACTTCCACCCCCTCACCCACATGCCCCTAACCCATGCCTGCTTGCTCACCCATGACTAGTGCTCTGGCCCTTTCTTCTACTCACAGTCTTTCTTCCCACTGTATTGACACCAGTGGTCCTTATCTTTTCAAAACTGCTTTTTTTTCTTTTAAATATTCATGGATGATTGAGGGGGAGAAAAAAAAAACCACACCTCAAAAGTGACAGACACCAAGGCTTAAAAAAGGGAAGCTCCTTTAGTACCAGAGACAGCCTATGGTAATGACATAAACACCATTATCAGAGCATTTCAAAACCCACAGTAACATACAAATGTACGCAGACTTCTGTTCACCTACACTGACAGGAATGTGACCAAACTTGGTTCTGATTGTTGCTTCTTCACATAACTATGCACGATGGAATATGCCTGTGTTAACAGGCATACAATTAAACAGAGAAATTATTTGTGTTTGGGGTGTTTGCAATTTATCAGAATGGCAATGAACATTTTACACACACATCTTTATATACCTGTGCAAGTATTTTAGTAAGATAGTTTTCTACCATTGGGAATTCTTGTTCAAAGGATATATATTTTACATATGAAGTAGCGGTAGGTGCCAGAGAACCAATAAACTTTTAAGTACACCTGGAAGCAATTTTGGAAGCAATCTCCAAACATGCCCTATTGGCCTTCCTCTTCCTCTCTGAGGCACTGTGGTAATGATGCGCAGCTCCACTGTGGTGCTGGTGCGGGCACTTCTTGCACAGCCCAGAGCTGGTCTCAGCTGGCTTGGAGAGCCAGGCGGATCAAAAAAGACCCTGTGTGGGAAGAGGCAGGTCAATAACACCCTGTTCCCAGGAAAGAGGTCTTGCTGGAGCTCCAAGGTCTTGCTGACCTGCCAAAACAAGTGGACTTGCTTCAGCAGCCCGGCCTGGCAGGGGGGCCAGCTTGAAAGGTGCATCACTTGAGCTCTCTGTGGGGTCAAGGATGATTCCCCTGTACCCACTAGCAACCTAAGGCATTGTGCAGAAGTAAAACATTTAATTAGAGCCATGTTGTGAAAGTACCTATACTGACAGAATATGGGAACTGGATGGGCCAAAAAACAGCAGGAAGGCAGAGACAACCACAATTCAGAATTCCTAGGCTGGGACACTTAGTTCTAGACTCAGATTAGATTTGCTGTACTTGAAGGAAAAACTTACAAACTTCCCTGGAGTTGGGATTTGTAATAGTTCTTATAGGCGCATCCCATGGAAGGCTGTAGCTCGCAGCCCTGAGCTCAGGAGGTACATTTGAGCGAGTTCCTCAAGAACACACAGGATCTCATGAGGAGTCCCCCTTCTCAAAGACCCCACTCTAGGCCTCACAGCGGCTTTCCAAGCAGGCTATGAAAGGTTGTCTGCTGAGATCCCTGACTGGAAGGCTAAAAGTTTGGGCTCAGTTTGAGAAGAGGGAGCCCTAGAGAATTTTGAGCAGAGAAAATATTAACCTGATAACATGCACTGATAAACTACAGAGACTTTGAAGTCTAAGAGACTAATCAAGGCATTATTAGATCCAAAACTGAGGTTTAGACGAGGATGATGCATGGTATCCACAAGCATGGGAGTAAAAGAGCAAGTTAAAAAGGAAATGCTCCACTAAACAAAAGTATCATGACCTCAGAAAGGGTACTGGGAAACTGGACTGGAATGGTAAGAAGCCACAGGGAAGTACAGCAAGAGTGAGGAGGGGAAGCCTGCTTTAAAAGGAACACAAATGCATCATGAAGTTTAGAATATAGAGGCTTGATGCCAGAGGAAAAGAGAATGTCTAGAAGCAGACCAAAAAGTATCTGGGGGGACTGGGAAGGTGGCTCAGTGGTAGAGCGCATGCCTTGCATGCCAGAGGCCCTGGGTTCGATTCCTCAGCACCACATAAGCAAAAAGAAAAAAAAAGCTGGAAGTGGCGCTGTGGCTCAAGTGGTAGAGTGCTAGCCTTGAGCTGAAGAGCTGAGGGACAGCGCCCAGGCCCAGAG